CCCTGATCAAAATCCTTTAATGGCTTTCCATCCATCTTTGGATAAAGTCCAAACTCCTTATGGTCGAGGCTACACATGATCTGGTCTCTGAATACTTCTCCAGTCTCTCTTTTGTAACATTTTATTATGAACATTTTTAAACAGAAAGCAAAATGGAAAAAAAATTGCAGTGATTACCCATTGATGGGCCTTGCTTTATCGTGCGTGTATCTATCCATTCATCCATCCGTCTATCCTCGCATGAATCTTTCCTGGTTTTGGTACATTCCAAAGTAAACTGCAGGTGCTGGTCTCATTGTCATCCTTCTTCCTCTTTTTCCTTATAGTCTAGCCACAGGCAGCTTTCTATCCTTCAGATCAGTCAGACTATTTCATATCTCTGGGCTTTGTACCTATTGTCCCCTCTACCTGAATTGTCTTTACCTCTTGTATATTCCTGACTGATCCTTTAGTTCTCAACTTAAAACTTACTCTTACAGGCTGCACCCCCAACTAAATTAGATCCACCTTCCTGCCTTATATATGATCTCGAGGCATCTTGCACTCTTCCTGAATGTCACTTGTCACAATTGGTAATTATATGTTTATTTGCAAAATTATTTAATGTCCACCTCCTGTGCCAGCCTGATACCATGTCCGTATTATTGCACCATGCTGGATCACCTCTGCAGAAAGTCAACTAATATTTGTGGAAGGAATTAAAGGCAGAATGAATCAATAATTACATAATAATAATCATAATACATGGAATAAATAAATTCGTTCTTCCTTTAAAATGTGTAAACAGTATAGGTTTTTAAAGATACTTGCGAGAAAGTAGAACTTACTTACTGCCAGAATTTAACCACCAAGAACATTAAAGCAAATAACTACATGGTAAGATCCACTGCTGGTGTTCCAGCTGAGAAGAGACTGGTGGGTTTTAGTGACTTCTCTCCCATCTCCACTAGCCATTCCCCTCAAGACCATCCAGAATCAACACACAATCCAAAGAAAATGGGTGTGAGTTATGCAAATGTACCTATAAGGTACTGAGGACATTTTACCAAGGTATAGCTTTGTATCAGGCACTGTCTTGAGTACTTTTCCTGTATTAATATTTTCCCCTCTATGGCAGAGGTTCTATTGTTATTCCCATTTTACAACTAAGGAAACTGAGAACAGAATAGTTCTTTCATTTTTTAAAAAAGATTTTATTTATTTATTCATGAGAGACACAAAGAGAGAGGCAGAGACACAGGCAGAGGGAGAGGCAGGCTCCCTGTGGGGGATACTGGGACCTCCCACTCCCAGAACCCCCTGATAACAACCTGAGTCAAAGGCAGATGCTCAACCACTGAGCCACCCAGGTGCCCCCAGAGTAGTTCTTTTAAAACATATTCTCTGACTTCCTCTTCTAACCAGATTGCCATTCCTGTAAAGTCAGCTAAAAATATTTATTCTGTCTGTGGTCCCGTTTAAGAGTAGGAAGATTAACATAGAAAACTCTCAAGCTGCTCTAATGGAGAGAGGGGTTTAGTCCATTCTACCAAGTCTGAAATAAAGAATGAAATCCACATATAGATCAGAGAGATTTGAGAGATGAAGCCTCGGTTAGGATTCCCAGAGTTCCATATCTGAAAAATCCGGTACAAGCATTGTGTTACTTTATTTCTGTATTTGTTCCAACCCCATTTTTTGTCATATGTAATCCCACATACACATGTTCAAATGATCCCTGCCAAGAATTTTACCTCAGATGGGAATACAATTTACACACAAAGATAAAACCACAGTGGTCTTCCTCCTTACAGGAGCTAATGGCTGAAGGATAGAAAATGAGGCAGTGCAGAATTTCTTAGTGGAAGGGTACTCATTTCCCACAGTCTTGAGTCTGAAGGCAAGCATTACCCTCATCTGTGTAACCCTCACAAATTAATAACATCCCTGGCCTTCATTTGCCCAGTTTCCTTATTTGAAAATGTTAATAGCATCCACGTAGCAGGACTTGGAGATACTGAAGTGCTATATTTAAAAAGCTCAGCAAGTACATGGAAAATAGAAGATGCTCAAAGATGGTAACTTTAGAAAGGGGAAAAAGATAGGGAAAGATCGAGGAGGGCGGTGAGTTTGATGCTCAGAAAAAAAGAGGAGTCATAGGAAATGTCTTTAATAAATATACATCATGCATCCTTTTTCCTTCCCAGTGGTGGGGGGTGGGGGGTAGGGAAAGGGAGGGAGGGGGGTAGTGTGAAGGGAGAGAAGAAGGGAGAGGGCAGAGGGAGAGAAAATAAGAGAAGAGCTTGGGTAAAAGTGTCCTTTAGCATTTGCATTGCTCTTAGCTGGCTGAACTTGCCTGCAGCTACCACTTACAATGCAAATTGAGCTTAGAGTCCTTCACACTAACTACACAGCAAAAACCTTTCAGCTTTAAATAGAATACTGCAGTGTGGAATGATCTGAGCAAAGCAAAGAAAAACTGAGAGATAAATGTGAAGGAGATTTTGGAGAGAGAGTGAAAGGGAAGGGGTGGGAGGGAGAAAACAACAACCTTGACATAACTGGCCAGGTAGGAGAATGCCGAAAGATCAAGGAAGGCAAAAAGCAAAGCAAAATCTGTAGAAGTACCTAGACACTACTGTCAGATTTAAGAGAAAGTAGATTTAAGTGAATAAAGGAGGAGGGTACTTTTGAGGCAAGCCCTCAAGAGAAAGGATTTTAACAAATAATATTTCAATCTAGTGATCTTTCAAGGTGTACTCAGCACTTCCAAGGTATTCATCAGAAGAGAGAGGATGGACTCTTGCCCTTCTGGCCAGCACCACTGCATGAATGTTCCCTAAAATGAACAAATTAAGAGCATAGAGAACTTCCAGCTCTACCCAACTTCTGCTATTTACATTGTCCAAGGTCCATTTTTTTTTCTTCTTCCCAGACTTTCAATAAGATCAGGTAAAGGAACTTGAAGGCATACTAAGAAATAAAGGTTTTGTTTCGTTTTCGGCATGGTGTGTGTGTGTGAGAGAGAGACAGAACGTTCTGAGAGGCTGACTCTTTAGAAAGATTTTATAGAGCTGTCTGCTATAAACTCATGCCTCATTTTTGACTACATGAACCCAGTCATTTTAACCAAAATCAGAGTCTATAAAAATGCCATAAAACAGGAACAACAATCAGTGCAGTACCTGGGGTCCCCAAAGCACTAAGGAATTCCATTTTAACTCATTTCTTCATTCTAGAGATGATACCCCTATACACACGGCCCCAATTTGCCCATCTTCCCAGCTCAGTAAGTTTCCTGTGCCTGCGCTTGGAGGCATAATGCAATCTAGAAGAAAACACGAAGGCAGCCCTCTTTCTTTGTTGTCACAAACAGAAAGAAGTATCACCCGGAAAAACCAATAGACCTAAGGCCAACTTCTCTCTTGGATGACATGCTCAGACACAGAGACTACACAGGTAGTCATAATCTACCTGGTAACTGAGTCAGTGACAAAGCACTTGAGACTGAGAAAGAACATCTTATCACCACCCTGTCATTCTGCAAATGAAAAGAATAGGCAAGTATGGTGCCTGTATGGGGGAGGGACACGCTGAACATCTCTTAAAAGCCGCCTCTAAGCTCCTGAATGCCAGAGCTCATACAAGTCTGCTTAATCTGTCTAGCACCATGGACATATTAGGCTGGATGCTCTCCAAAAATGATGATGAATGAAGAATATATTTTCAATATATTCACTAGGCATTTTTTTTAACCTAAAACTTACTGGGACGTTTATAGAAGATGCTACCTTTGCCCCCCACAATTGTACCTTTCTATTTCTTTCAGAGTTTGAACTCTTTTACTACCTTGCCAAACCCATCACATTTTTCTGTGAGTCTTGGTTTGATTACATACTATAGAAATATTAGTATCCCATCAATAACAAGAATCGTCCTAAATGAACATACCTTGCTGTGTTTTCCTAAGGCATTTTCACACACATTTACTCACGTGGATATTACAACGTGATAATGCAACACTTTCTATGCGGGCTTAAGGATAAGGGCCTACAGGTAGAAAATGAAGGCAAAAATGCAAAAGTTTTGGCATCTGAAAAAAAAATGCCTCTTACTCTCTATTCACACACAAAAGGCAGAATGTGATTCCACCTGCTGACTTCCCTGCCTGCCTGCTAACGTCAGAACAAGCAGAGAGAGAGAGAGAGAGAGAGAGAGAGAGAGAGAGGGAGGGAGGGAGAGGGAGAGCCTCGACAATTTCACCTCTTGGCAAAGCCCAGCTTACTGAACCCTCTTGCTTTCTGCTGGCTGTTGATTCAGCAGAAACTACTGCTGCAGAATTCATAATGGTGATTTTAAAGGCCCCACTGATCGCATTGCTCGCCCCACGTGTCAGACTCGTTCGCCCGCGGCTGGAACGCCTGTCTCCCCAGCCACCTTTTTATTTCTCTCTCGCTCATGCACTGCCAAGGGGAGAGGGGCCTGCCCTCCTGCCAAGGGCCTTTCGGGGTTCCGATTGTCTGAGCAGGTAACCTGGCCGGAGACACAGACCGGCAGGAAATGAAGCCATGCCCTCCCTGCAGCCCCTGAGACACAACATCATTCCGCTCGGGGAGGGGAGGCCCTCGGATCCGAGGTCCTCCGGGGCCCCCTTCCTATCTCCCCACCTAGACCTCGGCAAACACCTCGCGGGAGGGGGCACCTGCCTTCGGGGGAGGGGGCGGTCATTTTTCCGGTCGGGAGCCCCACCCTGCAAAGCCCGATCCCCGAGGGCCATTTTAACTCCCGTGGGCGCCGGGTCCACCTGCTGCTGAACGCCGGGCTCGCCTCGCGGAGCCCGGGTGGGTGTGGGGCGCCCCGGCCGCTGCCCCCGCGGGCCGAGCCCCCGCCCCGGCCCCGCGCCCGGCCCCGCGCCCGGGCCGGGAGGAGTCTCCGCCGCTCGGCGCCCGCGGCCGGCCGAGCCCAGCGACCCGCAACTTGCGCCCGGCCCCAGCGGCGGAATGCGGCGGGGCTGGCGTTACCTTCGGTCGCATAGCTGTGGTCGCGCAGGAAACTGTTGTTGATTTTGCGGGTATCAATGTCCTCCTCCATTGACAGCAGGCTTACTCGCGTGGGAACCAGAAGCCGGCAGACAAGTATCCATGATCCCTCCCCGCAGCCAGTCTCACAGGAGAGGGGGGCAGGGGAGCCGGAGGGACTGCACCATGGTCCGAGCCTGAGGAGGAGACGGGGAGGCGGAGAGAACAAAAATAAAAACCCGGCAATGGAGCTGTCACCTCCTCCACTCGGGATCTCCGAGGCTGCGGCGGCTCCTCCCGCGGTGCGCTCACTCCGGCTCCAGTTCCCGGCGAGGATGCTGCGCCCGGCTCCGGCCGCCGGGGGCCGAGATGCGCCGAGCCCCGAGGGGTCCGGGCCCGCCCGCCGCCCGCCGCCCGCCGCCCGCCGCCCGCCGCCCGCCGCACGCCGCCCGGCAGGCGCTCACCAGCGGGCTTGGGGAGAAGCCCAACAGGTTCCCCACGCTGGCAGCCGCTCCAAAACGCAAAACGCAAAAAAGGTCCCTCCTCCCCCGGGCGAGCGGGCGGCCGCGACAAAATGGTGCCTTTCTGGCCCCGAGCTGCGGTGGCGCGGTGGCGCGGTGGCAGGGGCCGGGCTCGGGCCGGGCCGGCGGGGAGCAGGGGGCCGGTGCCCCGGGAGGGCGGCTCGGGCGGCTCGGGCGGCTCGGGCGGGGGCGCGGACGGCGGCGGGGAGCCGGGCAGGGCGCTGCGGCCGGCGCCAGCGCACTCACCCTCACGCCCACACGCGCGCGCTCGCAGCTGCCGCCGCCGCTGCTGCAGGAGGAGGCTGGAGGCGGCTGGTGCATTAAAGGCGAGGCTCCTCCCCACCGCGTCAGCAGCCCCGGGACTCTTCCCCGGCCGCGCCGGTGGCCGCGGCGGAGGCTGCGGCTGCTGCCTGCTGCAGTGGGGCGCACGCAGCCGCGAGCCCGCACCTGGGCGCCGGCGGCGGCGGGCAGGGCCCCGGGAGCGCGGCACGCGCGCTCTGCCAGCCGCCCTCCAGCCGGGCCACGCGGCTCCCGGCGCCGCCGACTCGCGCCCCGCACCCCCGCCCCCACCCCACCCCACCCCACCCCACCCCCGCCCCCGGGTCCCTAACTCGCTGCCTAGATCCGGACACCTGCGCTTCAGGTCCCCGTGGGTAGGCAGGGACACCTCCTCCGGGTCCCTGGCGCTCACCCGGTAGGAGGTACGCGGTCCCTCCGTCCAGTTCAGCGGCGAGGCCTGGGGTTCGAAGCCTCAGGGAGGGGAGGGTGTGGGAGGAAGGGCTGCCGCCGTCGCTTAATTGAAGCCTCCTGTGCTAGGAATAGAATCGGGGGAGCGGGGGCCAGAACTTTTGTGCGAGCACCTACGACTCCTCCACTGCAGAGTCCACATCCCCCTTCTCACCGTGGGCGTCTGTGTCTACACCGCAGAGGGAAGCAAGAGGGCTGAGCTTGGAAGCTGGTGCACGGAGTCGCCCTGAAAAGGTCCACCGTCCCTGGCCCTTCGCGCTCTGTTTTGGACAAAGTGCCGCAGGCCCCCCCGCAGGTGTTGCCCGTGAAGACTCAGCCCTGCAGGAACCGCTGACATTTGCTCCCAGCATGGAAGGGACGCCCGAGCCCTGTGCCCACAGACGACGGCCCCTGCTACCCTGAGATTTCAAAGATCCAATTAAGGCGAAAAAGAGACCTGCCTCCCTACTTCACCCAGGAGGAAAATACAGAATTTCCCACCCTCCCTTCCCCCACGTTTCCCCCAAATTGCAGATTCTGTCATTTGAAAGAAAAGTGGATCGCTAGTGTCATGAAACCAGTAAAATCCTTTATGAAGCTACCCAACTCACTAAAAAGCCAAGCTGGAGAAGCCATTTCCCCCATTCTCCTCTTGTAGAAGGTACTCATGGCAGTGGGTGTCACTGCAGGGAGAGACATCACAGCGCAGTCTTGCTCAGTTAAGCTCCACAAGTGGAGCTAGATGAGCCCAGAGGGACCTGTGAGTTAATTATATACACACAATGCTTCAGCTAACACAATTTAGAAAGTATTGGAAGTTCAGAAAAATAGGAAAACAAGTTTTTAACGGAGGTTGGGAATTGCCATCAGATTTCCACAAAGGGTGGATGCTTCCGGCACCTAGAATATGGCATCGCCCCCACCTCCAGGGAGCCAGATGGAGAAGAGACTCGAAATCTTCTGCAGAGATCTTCTTGGATATCGTTTTTAAGGGAAGTTCAGCTTACAATAGATTCCATCTTCTCGTTTGGTGGTGAAGTCTTAATTAAGCTCGTTTGTTCGAATTTCACAAGTGAAATTGCGGTAACAAATGTAGTCTGCTCAGGGTCGGTGCATGGCTGGTTCTTCCGCATGAGCAGCTGTGTCCGTCACCAGGGCTCCAGCGGTCAGCTCACCTGCAGTTACACAGTTTAGCTCCTCTTGCTGTTCAGCATCATGGGGAAGGGGCGGGCAGAGGGGAAATAAGCTAAGTCCCTCTCACAGTGGTGAGAAGACATTTTGCTTTCAGTGGAAATGAACTTAACTTGCGACGGGACACCTAGGTATGGTGTTTGGAAATTCTCCCCTTATCCTCCTGGAAGGTGGGCTAGATTGGAACAGAGCTGCATGATGAATGGGGTAGGCCCAGCCCTGCCGGCCAGGCTGTGCTTGAGAGATTTTTCCACTGTAACCAATGGGAGGTGTGCTCTCTGGAGATCAAGTTTCTGGGGTTTACTAAATTTCACCCTTCACGTTGCCTGCAAAAATCCCTCCTGCATTTATGCAACAGAACAGGCAAAACAGACACATTCTGGGTAAGTAGACTGCAAAGTTTCAACTTTTTTTTTTCAGCTTTTCTACCATGAGCAATGGGGAACACGCGCAACCCCTGTGCCAAGACCAAGAAAAATAAGGCTGCTGGCTCAGTGATATATAAGAAAGGAGGTAAGGGGGTGAAAGAACCCTGTGCAATCCTGTGGTGGTAAGAGGACCGTATAGACCATTTCTCAGAAAACCTGCTGACCTTCTGTCTGTGCTCCAACAAAGTTCTTTCTAAAAATCTTTTTTTAAATTTTTATTTATTTATGATAGTCACAGAGAGAGAGAGAGAGAGAGAGAGAGAGAGAGAGGCAGAGGGAGAAGCAGGCTCCATGCACCGGGAGCTCGATGTGGGATTTGATCCCGGGTCTCCAGGATCGTGCCCTGGGCCAAAGGCAGGCGCCAAACCGCTGCGCCACCCAGGGATCCCTCTAAAAACCTTTGAAGTGTACACATGCCATTCCCTGTGTTCCTTCCTTATGTTCTTGGCATTCTTTTTTTTTTTTTAAGATTTTATTCATGAGAGACACAGAGAGAGGGGCAGAGACATAGGCAGAGGGAGAAGCAGGCTCCCCATGGCGAACCTGATGCGGGACTCAATCCTAGGACCCCAGAATCACAACCTGAGCCGGAGGCAGATGTTCAACCACTGAGCCACCCAGGTGCCCTGTTCTTGGCATTCTTCAGCATGGAAACTGAACCGTCTCTACTTCCCTGAGGCATTACCTGACTGTAACACAATGTCTTCCTCTGGAATTTTCTGTCTCTGTATCTTTTTTTTGGGGGGAGGGGTCTTCTTCATGGCTCACTGCATTTTGTAATAGTTGTCTCCTTATCATTATCAACCATTGCTACTATATCTCTGATACTAAATGGCTGGCGTTTAGTAGGTGCTCAATTATTTTTGGTAAATGGACATAAATATTTCTTCAGTGAATGAATAAATTACTGAATTTGTTCAATGTAACAAATATTTGTGATATTTAGGCTTAGCAGCTCAATCCTTATTAAAATTCTTGCCAAAAAACTCCCACGCCCAACAATAAAACCTGTCGTGAGCCAGTAGTTTTCTAGTTTGTAAGCTTTATTCCAATTGAAATAATTGTCCTACCCATTCCTGTATGCATATGTACCAAAACTATTTGCTGAGCACTTAATATATGCCAAGAAGTGTTCTGGTGTTGGGGATACAGTTAAAACAGAATCCTTTTCGTCACAGAACTGAAATTCTATCATCTGATTTTGATAAAATGAGCTTTCTTAGAAATACAACAGATGTGGGACGCCTGGGTGGCTTAGCGGTTCGGCGTCTGTCTGCCTTTGGCTCAGGGCATGATCCTGGGATCCGGGATCGAGTCCCACATTAGGCCCCTTGCATAGAGCCTGCTTCTCCCTCTGCCTAGGTCTCTGCCTCTCTGTCTCTCTCTCTTTCTGAAGAAAAAAAAAAGAAAGAAAGAAAGGAAGGAAGGAAGGAAGGAAGGAGAAAGAAAGGAAGAAAGAAAGAAAGGAAGGAAAGGAAGGAAGGAAGGAAGGAAGGAAGGAAGGAAGGAAGGAAGGAAGGAAGGAAGGAAGGAGAAAGAAGAAGAAAGAAAGAAAGAAAGAAAGAAAGAAAGAAAGAAAGAAAGAAAGAAAGAAAAAGAAAGACAGACAACAGATGCATTATAAATCAACAGACTATAGCATAATGTTAAGGACTAAGGCTCTGATAGCAAGCAGAGCTGATTTTCTGACACTTATCACTGGGTCCTTGAATAAGTTACAAGGTTCCTCTGAGGCATTTTTTTGAACCTCTAAATTAGGGAGAATAGTATCTACTTCAAGGAGTTATTGTGAGGATTTAATGAGATAATGTATTGAATAATCCTGGAAAGACTATACTGCTATTACTTGTTGACTATTATCACTACCACTATTAATAATGAACAAATATTAAAACACCTACTATGTCAGGCAGTGGGGCAGGACTGGAGACTAAGCCACATCTGTGCATAAAGTGAATAGTCAGTTTCTGCTGTCATGCAACTTAGTGTCTAATTTATAGTTTATGTAAAGTGAGTCATAAACTATCAAGAGGGCAGCAAAAGACACTCTGAAAGGCTGACCAAGTTCAGGCCTGTGCTTTACACACACACACACACACACAAAGGCCAATGGCAAATACACAGGGCTTCTTAAATTACACAATTCAGTATGATGACACGTAGACACGTTCCTTTTTTTTGTGGACCTTTGTCATTGTTCTCTTCCCCCTGTACTGTCACATACCCTCACCCAGTTAGGTTAGTGCTGCTTACACTGGAATATTTCAGGTCATCCTATCCAATTAACACATTAAATATCTACAATTTTATTAAAACCTTTGACCTAAACCA